AATGCACTAAGGGATGATAGCTTCATGCCCGTTAATGCTTGTGGGAGAAAAATACTTCCACCCTTCGGCTGATTTTCCAATACATCCCTTGCTAGTTGGAATATGCTGCTCTAGAACAGCGGTGCTCAACCTCCAGTGCATGGGACCATGACATCTGTCCCATCGGACTCCCCAAGGGCCTAGAAATTTGGAGAGAGGGAAGCAGATACAGCAACTGCCGCTGCCATTGCTTCCCCGCCATCAAATTTCCAAATCTGTGGGAAGCCCCATGAGATAAATGCCACAGTCCTGGGCACCAGATTGCACCTGCATGCAAAGTCAGGCTGCAGCCAGATCTAGTGTGAAGGGCTGGGCCTGTGCACAGGATTGCTCTGTGGCTGGATCCACTGCACAGGGCTGCTCCATGGTCAGATGTACTGCATGGGGCAGCGATGACATGCTGGATTGCACTCATGGCCCAACACTGTGTGCCAACTCCACACTGGATTCAGTCCATGGGATCTGGTCCATGGACTAACCCCATGTCACTCATCAGGCTCACAGGGCCAGAAAGTTGAGCACCACTGCTCTAGATGCTTATGCATTGACCCCACCATGCAACAGTGTCCCACCAATGACAGGAGACTGGTCATAGCTTTAACATCAGTTTTTTGTTTTTTTTTTAAGTGGGTAAGATCAAATGTGTGCAACACATCACTCTCACCCTAAGCCCAGAAATCTATTCCCCCATTCCTTCCCCAAGACATATCGCTACTTCCCTAAATTTCACTCCACATGTGCCTTCAGCTGGTGGAAATCTGGGAAGCTGCATTTTCTTTGCCTTCTCTTCACCTCTCTTTACTGTTGTCTCTGCCTTTTTCTCTCTTCCTCTTTGTCAATCTTAGTCTGTGCTAGTGGAGGCTGACAGCAGCAATCACTGGACCAGACTCTCTGGGGTGGCTAAGCAGACCTCACTATGGGAGGGTGACAAATCTTTGTATTGCTAGGGAATTACCTGGAAGCACCAATCCTGATATAAATTCAGGCTGTTCTTTCTGTGTCCTGCCTGCTGCCAATGAACCCAAAGTATATGGGTGCCCTGGCCATATAGTCTGTCCTGGGTGATGCCAGAAAGCAATGTAGAAACTACAAAAGAAGGTCTCAACCACTTGAGTCAGGGAATTCCACAAGCAGGTGGATCTGCCAGCTTTGGTCTGCTTAATGCTGGCAGACCAACACAGAGCAGCCCTCAGACACCGTGGGGCTAGCCTTTTCAATATTATTCCCCACTTTGCTCAGACATGCACCATCTTACAGACCTCTGGCCACATTTGAAACTTTTACAGATGTCCAGCAGTGGACCATCAGCAACTGAAAGCAAAATGGATATTGTTAATAAGCCACACTATAGAATGCACCACTGCTCTCTTGAGAAGCAAAGACAAGTGCCTCAGTGCCACAGCATAATATATGCTGGTTGAAATCCCTCACAACAGTGATTATTTGTGATCCAGAGGTAACTGCACTCAGGTCTGCTTTGTGACACAAAAACAAGCTCCCAATCACAGCTTCTGAACTGGCTCGCTCCTTCCCTTCCCCTCCCCAAATCAGAAGAGAAGGGAAGCGAAGCACTCCAGCAGTTATGCACACTTGGTATACATCAGCCTGACTCAGTCCTATGAGAACTGAGTAAATAGCCCAACCTTGCTTAAAGCTAAAGGTGAAGAAAACCTTCAGAGCTGTGATTTTCATTAAGATATTAGTGTTCTTTATTTCAAGCACAGCCAACCTAAATCTATGAAATCCAAACCTAAACTCTATATCATACAAGGAATCCCTTCTAAGAGGCATGACTATCAAACTTACTGTTACATAAATCGGAGATTACCTGACTAATGCACATATAGAAGTGACTAAAATAGTAAATCCCACAAAGATGACAGCTAAATGTACCGCTATACTAGAACTTACTACAGCCATGGACAGCCAATAAGCTTTTGCTTCCAGTGAGATGGCATGCTTTTTGTTCAAACATCACCCTCTTGGTGACTTTTGCTTTGCCCAAAAAGCCAACAGCAAAAATTACATTTTCTTTGCTTTTTCAAACTGGCATGCAGTGGTACTGAGTAGCAGTTTGGGTCTTATGACGATCTTTCTGATCTACTCACAAAATGTCAAGTAGATAATTAACAATCCTCAGAAAACTCACTTTGAAAGCTCCTGGATACATTTCTTTGCCTCCTATATCTGACCTCCTAATGTCTAGGACTTGTGTGTACAGTTTAAACAACAAGTTTTGAAGGTCTTATTGTTCTTCTACTAGAAAGAAGATTTTTACTTACTTGCTGCCATGTCAGTCTCAGTCGTTCAAACTGTTCTTTCCCATCTTCTGAGCAATCAGAGCAAGTAAACCTGAAAAAGTTATCTCCCTTGAGATAACTGAGTTGTTCTCTCAACTGACCTAAAATGAATAAGGAAAAGACCTATGCCTCAGTTCTTTTTGAAGAAAAACACTGAAAAGTAGATATGGATTCCCTACAACACCCTACAGGAACACGTTTCTCCTAAGCCACAGTTTAGCAACCCTGAGTGCTCATGAAAAGTTCAGAAACTGTGTGCGATGCTTAAAGTATAGATTCATTGTAGTTACAGAAACCAGCAGGAACCAATACAGAAACATATGCATTAAAGTAGGGTCTTCTACCTAGCTTTCAAATAAATTTAAAACTTTGCTAGACTTAGCTAGACCTTGCTACTTCCTCTGCCTTTTTTTACCTCCTCCCCAGTTCCCCAGGGTCTTCATAAAGGCGCCAGGTAGTCAAAAATGCAACCTGTGAAAGATGCCACTATAACCTGGTCTGTGAATATACGAGTCTTTCCTCACTTGCCATCTTTCCACAGCTAAGTAGTCCTCTAGCTCTTTTCACTGTCCACCCATCCACTGCATGTGAAGTTGTCAGTTCTTCTTTCTGCAGTCAGAGACCCACAGAGGTAGACCTTAAGATACCTATTTACCCATATTATGGAATTATTCTTTCTTTGGCACTACGACAGGGGAATGCTACATCCAGCTAGAAATAGAAGACGATACCAGGAAATAGCTGTTCTTGACTAAGGTTTATTCTTCTAGAGCCTAACTCAGGAAAGCATCTCAGTGCATGTTTAAGACCTTTTGCTGACCTTAAATATGTGTGACTTAACAAACGGCCTTGATTAATTTAATCATAAATATCATTAGCAAACAGGAACAGTAACTGTGTATATTTGGAATTTTTTAAAGTGCTTAAGGCAATCACCTAGTTCTCTTTTACTACATCGTTGACCCCAATACAGCAATTCACAATGTATTAGTGAAATACTAATAATAATGTTAATGAAACACTAGCTCTTGGCAAAAGCTATTGGTCATATTAGCAAAATTGCCAAAGGAATCCATCTCTGAACATACTTTTATCTGGTGTAAGTCACAGCTAGGATCACTGTCACTGAAAGACATCAGAGAAAAACATTTCTATTTCTGCACACTTGTGTCTGATCACATTCACTCTGTGGCCAGTTTCCCTTGCTGTTTGTATCTTTTATGCAAACAACAAAGCTTGAGGGTGGGAGGAATGGAAAATTGGACTGTAAAATAAAAAAAGCAGCAGCAGCAAGACTCAAGAGTCAGAGGGACCACCAGATGCTACTTTTAATTTATTGTTTTTTACAGACTAAATTTCAAGTTGACTGTGTCTCTTTAGTCATTTGTTACTAAACACCAAAAGAGAAATCCTGGCTCCATTAAAAGTTTATGGCAAAACTCCCCTTGACTTCACTGGGGATGAGATTTCCCTCCAAGGGTTCTGGCAGATTTTTAGCAAGATGTCTAGCCAAAGTAGTTGAAAGGCACAGACCCAGATTAAAGGGTTTGTTTTCTGCTCCCACAAATGGAGCAGTGCTTAAATTTTGGACAGTAACAGCTATTGTACTAGTACAGGGAGAAACCTAAACTCATTTCTGTTATGTTAAACAGATACCAGAGAATTAATTTAATCTGGTTAGCCCAAAATGCTTCTAAGGGACTTTATACTCTTCTGTGAATGCAAAAGTAAGTGCAGAGTATAAGGGAATAATTCTTATACATACCAACTGAGAGTTACTCATACCGGTCATACAAACAACAAATCAACCAGGAAAATAAAAATAATAACAACAGCAACTCTCTCTTATATAACACTTTTCATCAGTGGGTCTGAAAGTGCTTTATAAAAGGAGGTCAGACTCGTTATCTGCATTTTACAGAAGAGGAAACTGAGGAATTAAGAGATAAAGTGACTCAACCAGCATTACTCAACAGGCCAGAGGCAGAGATGCAAAGAGGACCCAGGTCTCTCAAGGTCCAGTCCAGTGCTCTTTCCAAGAAAAGAATATAGAATATTCACAAACACCCCCAAAAGCAAACACACAAAAAGAAAATGATCAAGGAAACAAAGGAAAGGCACTGTTACTTACTTGCTGGTATCCACTTCTGACACTTCTCACAGTAGTAGGACAACTCCTCCATCCAGGATGCATCCCCTTCATCACTGTTCAAAGAGTCCCCGCTTTGATCGTGGGATAAATCCACAGAGGCCTGATCCTCAGACTCGACAATAAGGAGAGTCTCCCCTTCCACCTCACCTTCCTCCAGACCTTCAGAGGTGGATGTCCTTGTGGCTTCATCATCATGACGGCTCATTAGCCCACTCATGTGAACATTACTATCCATCCCTTCTTCACAGGGAGAAAAAGAGGATAGTTTACATTACCAGGTCCCCCCCCTCCCAACGTTTAAAATATCAGCCACATTGGATAAACCAGCCAAGTCCCCCGCACACATAAAAATACTGAAGCCAGAAGGACCTTCTGTTTGCATTTACTAATGCCTGTAATTTTCTGTGCAGGATTAAAATTAATCTAGAGGAGATGGACTTTCAGTGACAACCTGTGTATATGAAAACACAAAGGCACAAGCAGGAGCAATCCCTTCTGTGCGTCTTCAGTGAAAACTAAAACTCCCGTTCTACATCTAGGATTGCTGGGGTCCTCTGGCCAGAGCCTGCCTGTCTCTTTCTGCTTCCAGATGCTTGGTCAAAATAATCTGTTCTTCTAAAAGGCGAATGTTCTCTTGTTTGCGACTTTGTCTCTCGAGGTCTCTGAGTACACCTTCACGCAGTCTCTGAAAACACAAGACATGGCTCATCACAATGCAGCCCGTGCTATATGTGACTAATCTCCATTTATGCTCCAATCCCTGTTGCAGGATGGCTAATCACTTAACAGTTGCAAATCTTTAGTTCTCCCTCAGTGACTTTATTTGTACCTAAATATAGGATCTGAGAGGTAGATGTTGATAAGCTGCTGGTAATGGGCCAAAACTACTCTCTGCTGACTTAGCTGTATGGTTTTAATGAGGGGAACCTAGTGACCAACCATCAACATTGTATATGGATAATTCCTGCAGCAGTGGTTCTTACCCTTTTTTAAACTCAAGACACCCCTCATTAGACTCAAGGTACTCCTGGGAAAACACTGTCTCTTAGTTTTCACTCATTTCTTGACTATGGGAAAATAAAAAAGCATTTTTTTTATTGCAAAGAACTCAGACAGACCACAACAGGTCACCATGCTGTTGACACTATGGATCCCTATTGGAAAACTTTGGGTTTATCTTGTGAATCATGTGTAGATGTCTGCATACCTAATAGTGCTGATATAGTGTGGTAACCCCATGGCACTCTTAAAATATATTGTGGCACCCTAGTTTAGAATCATGGTTTTACAGCAGGGGTCAGAAACCTTTGTAAGTTGGGGATCAGAACAACCCAGCTCCAGTCTGGGGCAGACCAGGTGGTTTTGGCAGAGAATCAGCAAGAAGGATGGAGTAGGACAGCAGGCACTGCTGCTGCTTCTCTAGTCCCTAGCCCTGGCTGGGGGACAAGCGCAGCTTCCAGCTGATGGGGAACTGTGCCAGGGCCAGACAGCTAGGAGATGTGTGCACCATCACAGCTCCATCCCCCTCCTTCCCCCACTCCCTGGCTGCAGCACAAGCACAGCTTCCAGCCAGTGGAAACTGAGGTAGGGGAGCTGAGCATCTGGAAACTGCACAACCCCAGCTCAGTTACACACTGACTGGAAGTAGCACCCATACTGCAGCTACGGGGGGCAGGGAGAAATGGCCACAAGATGGCCACAGCTTCCAGCTGCCCAACCCTAACACACCTCCTGGCTGCCACGGGCCAAGGCAAAACCCACTATTTCTGCAGGCCAGATCCTCTGGCTTCAGCCATTCATTGCCAATCCCTGATCTTTAGCATTACAGGAAGAGCCCTTACTCTACAGAAGATTGTGATTATTCCCTGCCTTTACCAAAATTAAACTCTGTCCCAAATTCCTCTCTTTGTGCTCCTTTGCTTGAGAAGAACTTGGTGGTGACCTGGAAGGATTTTAAGAGGACTTGTGTCATCTTCCACTTCTTTGTGATATACAAAACACAGACTGAAATGGCTGCTTCCTGCTTGTTTCTTACCCTTAAGACATCTGAATCTGATGTCTCCAATTTTGTTGGTGACCCAGAGTGTGCTTATTGTGAGGTCTTGAAAAAATAACACGGGTCCTTTCTCTAACAATACTTATTAAAATTAATCAGACATTAACACAGACTACACAGTGGCTGCCTTTGTAAAAATTAAGCAGGACTACTCGTCTTGAAAGAGAAGAGTTTCCTTTGGCTTGGTTACTTTGTGCATTCAACAACACTGGTCCTACCCCTATGATGAAATCTGAGCAGAGAGCCCCTCACATCCTAGTTGTGCTTCCTATGCAACCTCAGTGGGGATCCACCTTCACAGTTCACTGCACTTTGCCCACAGTTAGTGTCACCGTTTTCTCTACACATGGTCAATCAGGCCTTGACCCGGATACTGGATCTATAAGGGTAGATTTGAAGGCTGAATTGGAGTCTTTGTGAGTGTCCCCTGTTGCTCATGTGTATCTCTGTACCACAATAAGGGACAGAAAGGCATATTTAAACTAAGAAAATATAACTGCAAAACCATAAAACATGGCGTAGCAGATGTAATATCTGACAGTGACTCCAACACTTTTGTAACTGAATAGATTTCAAGCAAAGTTACTACAATATTAAAATATTGTATTTGATGAAAGAAACATATAAAACAATGGTAGAAAAGTCAATACTGGCCTCCACATGGATCCTGCTGCATAATAATGATCATGTTTTGCTCCTACTAAAGTCTTAATCTGAAGAAAGGCTTACATCCCTGCTGAATGTATTAATGCAGCAGTTCTTAATCTCGTTATACTCAAGCCGCCCCTTGGAAAACACCAGCTCTTAGCTTTCACTCAGCTTGTGCACTATGGAAAAATAAGAATCAATTACTCTGCTGCAAAGAACTCAGACTTCAGCAGGTCAGAATGTTATTGACACCATGGATTCTTATTTGAAATCTCTGGGTACTGCAGGGAGGTGTCCACACACCTAACAGTGCTAATACTGTGCAGCACTCCATGATGCCCTGAAAAGGATTTCACAGCACCCACAGGGTGCCCTGAGAAACGCTGTACTAACTTTTATTAATGCTGATGTGCTTGGGATCCAGGTTTTGCCTGATCAGGACCCAAATGCATTCGTGCGTATACTAAAACTGGTTGGCTGAACACAAGGGAGAAAAAAAGCACAAAAATTATTTAACAAAATGACCAAAAATGTTAAATAATTTATTTCAGAAATACTGTCTAATCCCATACAGGGCTAATTAATGCTAAAAATCTGTAAATCACTTATTTGAAATCTAACTATAAAGTCATCAAGTTACCAAAAAATGCATTATTTAATCAGTTCTAACAGAAAGGTTTTATTTTTCATCCAGAATCCACCTAATTATACATTTCACAGGAAAATATTTTTTCCATGAAAATCATCAAAAAAAAATATTTTATGCAAAAATTACTTTAATTTAAAAGAAATACAAAGGCTAGGAGTATTTTATCCACTTCTCAAAACCTCTCTGGCAATTAATCTGATGACAAAGGTGCTTTCCCATGTGTTTCAATCAAGTTAATACACGTTACAACTTACTACTATTTAACAGTAGACCTGACAAACTAATTACTTTAATAGCATTAGCTAATCAAAATCTAGAAAAGGTATGGCGATTATAGACCAAGTGAACAACAGAGGCTAGAAACATGCTACCTGCTTTATCCCACAGAATTCAGATTCTTAGAATCTATCAGACTGCAAGTTCATTAATTTCAGAGCTCTGAAAGTATATACCACATTTATTCAAATCCAAGATAAAGTCTTTTCCCCATTCAACATGGGGGGGAAAAAGGCTTATTTTGGATTTGAGTACTTCCTTGGCACAGGTGACTGGTGCAACTCCAGCTCTGGTAGCAGAAGCTAGAGGCTAAAGTCAGAGGGAAGACAACCCTCCAATAATTACATATTATACATGGAAAGTTATAGCAAATTTATAATTCTCCATGCCCAGGTTCTAATTGGGTGGGGGGCTGCCTTAAATCTGAAGTTGTCTTGGATTTGGGTAAATATGGTAGTTTTTGTCATCTGTCACTAAGAGCTACCAAATATCACTAGCTGATTTGGAGTATGTGCATACAGATCTGGGCCTTCTCTTTACACAGGAACTTGCACCATTTTTTAAAATTCATTCATTTAAATATGTACAAACTGAAATTATAACTGGCTTTTTCCAGCTTAATTAAGGCTAGAAGTTGATTCATGTAAATGGATATAAACCAGACCTCACTAAACACAAGAGCATCCACATTTAGGGTTTGCAGTGGCTAAACTGAATTGATTTAGTTAAATTTGAGCACTGACAATGCACCAGACATCACTCTCAGAGGATCTGGGTTTGAGAGGCTAGTTTTAAATATCCTGCAGAGTATGGGAGCTGGGGCAGAAAAGGATATATGGCTGTGTAAGATTTTGCTCTTCCCCAAACATTAGGACATCTGTCTGAATCTTTGGAGGTTGTATCCATTCCCACTGAGGTCCTGCTCATACCTAAACCATCTCTTAACCCCTGCCCCCTTCCACTCAGCTCTTTCAGCCTCCTCCCAAGGTTTCTGTCCCTCAGCAGGAGCAAGTATGTGGATCCCATGAAGCCTGAGGCCATCAGACCCTGGATTTGTAAAGAAGAATCTCAGCTCTTCCTTACAGAAAGAAATTTCTGAATAGAGCCTTGAAAATATGAAGGATTATAAACAGATTGTTATGGAAGAAAAAGCCCTTCCTTGGGTTATACATCTGCAACAGGAGATAGAATAACATTCATTCTGCCTCCAGTCTTCAGAGCAGCTATCTGCACACTGGTGTGATCAAGCTGGATGGGAAATGGTTATATTTCCAAAAAAAAAACGGTGGGGATAAAATACTCTTTCATCAGCCCCTAAAAAAATGCTCACGTTACCCTGGTCACCCAAAGACCTGAAACAGGTCTGCCTAGCTGACCAATAGGCACATCTGACCCCTCCACCTCTGGAGGGTTTTACAGGCTCCATCAAATCTGACAATACTGCATGTTCTCTGCCACGTGAATAACTGTTATGTTTCTAACCCTGTGGGGTTCTCGCATTCAGAAGTGGTTTTGGGTGACCTGCCCTGAGAAACTCAACACCATGCTGGGTATAGAACATAAATACTGCTTAAGTCCACAGGGACCTTCTAAGTTCTGAGAGAGAGGGGAGGGCTGAGATATTCTTTTTTTTTCCTCCCCACGGATTTCATAGATCGCCCAATTTCACAATTTTCACGAAATCCATGTAATCGCGATTTGGGTAGGTCCCTATTTATGACAGACTTTCACTGTAAGATCATGTACTATTTTTTCCACAGGACCCTTCTCTCATTCAGTGCACAGAACTCAAGTTCAGAAGTGTCCACCACTCTGAGACAACTCGTCTTTATTTTTCAGTCAGCAATACTTAGTACTTTATATGTTCAAAGCACAGCTCCCATTGGCTTCTGTGAAGATCTGAATGTTCAGCATATCTCAATTCAAAGTCCATGGTAGGAAGCCTCAGAAAATCAGGGAACTCAAGTGTGAAAAGCCTGGTAAATCACTTACATGCATGGTGGCAGGAGGTGTGACTGTGTGGATTGCGCAGATTTTATTACACCTTATTGCCAGTGCAGGAGGAACCAATCCTGAGCTCCTCCTGCACTGGCAAGAAGCAAGCTCCCTCAGCTTGGAGGCCAGATCAGCTGACAGACCCACCCACTGGGGTGCATTATGCTCCCGCAGCTGGGAGCCCCAACTGCTGATCTGGAGTCTGCGGCTGCTGTGATCTGCCAGCCGCAGGGATTTATGGGCCCCGCTGCAGCTGGGAGCCCTGTCGTCTGACAGCTCCCAGGCTCTGGGGTAGACATGGCTCCCCCGCTCCCCTAGGAGATCCAATCAGCTGATGGTACTCCCAGCCAGGGGGGCCCCTGGCCATACATTCAACTAATGCCATGATAGGAAGCAACTACAAAGTTATCCAACATATTTTGTGGAATAACT